GAGCAAGGCAGTCACACTGTCTTATGTAATGACAATAAACAAATACACAAAAAAGATAATTTATTTTTATTGGGATTAATATTATGAAGAAAATAAAGCAGGGCAATGTGACAGAGGGATGAGGCCATGAGTTGGAGGAAGTGCTAACAGTCAGGGTACGCCTTAGGAAGGAGGTAACATTTGAGCTCAGAGAACAAAAAGGAGCTTGTCATGTTTAGATCAGGGGTGAAGAATCCCAGGCACAAGGAGCAGAAAGTACAAAGGCTCTGAGATATGAATCAGCTGGGTTTGTTTAAAAAAAAAAAAAGGCAGTTGTGGCTGGCACAGAGAAAACCAGGGAAAGAGAGGAGAAGAAGAGGTCAAAGAAACGGGTCCAGGCTGGAGCATGCGGGCCACACTGAGAAGTTCGGACTTTATTCTAAGAGCACAGAAAGCCACTGGAGGATTTTAAGTGTGAATTAACAATATCTAATTTATATTTTTTAAAAATCACATTGGTTGTTAAGTGGTGAAGAAATTGCAGGGGGTCAGGAACTCCTTCCACAGGCAGACAGGTTAGAAAATTGTGCATAGGGGGGTTGGATGGCATGGTGGCAGTGTAGATGGACAGAAACGGACAGACTGGGTGATAAATTCTGAAGATATGGTTGGCAGGACTTGCTATCGAACATGGGAGGTAGGGTGTGGAAGACAAGATCAAAGATGTCTCCTGGGGATTTGACTTGAGCAAATTTACCAAAATGGGAAAAGAATAAGAAATATCTACTGTTTTGGACCAGGAAAGTTTCAGAGGCCTATTCAGTATCCAAGTAGAAAAGCAGCATACAGCAGGCACTTGATACGTCCTTTTAAAAGCTACCACTTTGAGGACGATAGACTCATCCACAAATCAGACATAAAATATAGCATTCCAAATTTGATGAACTCTATTTACTGCTTCCAAGGTTACAAACAGAAAATAATAAGTGACTGAAATGACCAGAAATCTCAGTTCATTTGTGAAATATGTCATTTTTGGCTGCCACTGATGGTCCCTGACCCAGATTTCTAATACAAAGGTGCTGCATCTTATATCAGAAATTTTAGACAAATGCTGTCAACTCAATTCAAGTATTTACTCCTCTTCTCTAAGCCTCATAAACATTGGAGTGGTTAGGTGTCAAGACACAGGGGAGCAATGCCTCACCAAATCACTTTTACTCAAAGACAGTTAAATGCCATACATAAGGCAACTGGAAGTCAAATGTTTTGATGCTTTTGGCAATGATACACATTTTAATCCACTTTTATCTTTCTTTTTTTTTTGAGGAAGATTAGCCCTGAGCTAACATCTGTCACCAATCCTCCGCTTTTTGCTGAGGAAGAGTGGCCCTGAGCTAACATCCGTGCCCATTTTCCTCTACTTTATATGTGGGACACCTGCCCCAGCAGGGTTTGGCAAGCAGCGTGTAGGTCTGCACCTGGGATCCGAACCTCGGGCCGCGGAAGCAGAACGTGAGAACTTAACTGCTGCACCACCAGGTGGCCCCCACTTTATCTTTTTTAAATTCATATTTATTGATATAATTTACACACTAAAATTTACCCTTTTTACTGCATTGGTCTGAGTTTTAACAAACGCACACAATCAACTAACCAGCATCATCACAATCAACATACAGAACAGTTTCTCACCCAAAGAAGTTCCTTCAGGTCCTTTTGCAGTCAATTCCTCCCCGATCTCCAGATGCTGGCAACTACTGATCTGGTTTTGGTCCCATTATCTTTTTAAACTCAAGAACACTCTTATAAACTTAGGATTTTTATTCACAGATGCCTGGCAAAGCCATATTTCTTGAAAAACACGATGTGCAGAATATTAGAACCACCTAAAAAGTATTTAATGACCTTGTAAAAGAAGAAACCATCTTTCCAATTACTGTCATGATGCTTTAAGGTCTCCAAAACAAAGTTCATAATTTTTCTCTAAGACAAACTTTTCATCTAATAATTGGTTTGGATGAAACAAGCATGAATTTTAATATACACTCAGTAAATAGATTTTCACACTTTTTCCTCACAATCAACCTGAGGTTTTAGATTATTATCTCATCCGAAAAGTCAATTAAGACATAAAATAGTCATATTCTCACAATGGTTTTACATATGATTTTTTATAATAGGAAATTGGTAAATATGAATTTGTTTAATTTTCCCAATCTCATTTATAAAATTCTGTAATAATATTTCTTAGTAGTACTATTCCCCATTATTTTTATTATCCACTTTGTTTTAAAAATATTTTGGTAAATACATATGACATTTAATTTTGAAATATATACTATTATTATTATTATTATTTAATTAGATCAGTGTTTGTTAAATTTGTTACGAAAGCAGGTACTTAATTTGAGCTGCTAGGATATATTTTCATTTTATACTATTATTTAAAGAGAATGACGTTTAATGTAATTTATTTAAAAAGTACTGTATTAATTAATTCTTAATTGGTCTGAATGAACGAACACATCTTCCATGGTGTGAGCCAGAAATGGTGGCACACAGTTGAGTGACTAAGGCCTTGGGTTTTAGAATCAGAAAGACCTGGATTCTAGTCCTACCTCCATTATTGATTGGTTGTGCAAACTCTGTGCAAGTAACTTCATGTCTCAGAGCCTCAATTTCCTTATGCATTACATGTGAATAACAGTACTTCCTATCTCATACAGCATGAATGCAAGCACTTAGGACCAGGTCTGCACATATAACTGTTCAATAAATGGTAGCGATTATATACCAGGTGGAATTTCCATTTAAGAAACATTAAAACGTTTATTATTCAGCACTCACTCTGGAACAGTAAGGAAAGTGTCTTTGTTTACATTTTATAGATGACAAAGTGAGGTTCGGAGACGGCTGAACGGCGCGGCAGACTTCCCAGCTCAGGTGCACACAGTTAAAGTGAGGCAGAAAGGCACCCGGCTGCCCAGACAACTCCAGTAATTTAAGGTGTGATGCTGCCATCCTTTCTAAGAATGGGTTTTTCTTTCACTTTTTTAAAGAAATAAAGGAGTAGTGCTTGGTGATAAAAGTCATAAGAAAGCTGAGGGTAAATACAGGGGAGATCTGCATATTGTAGCTTTTTCAGTGCAGTAAAAAAGGTCTCAACTGTTAACTTTTTTCTCTGTAAAAGGGGATTTCATTAAGTGGGAATTCATTGTGTGAAGCCGACCATATCAGAGCAGCTGATCGGATAATGTTCAGGTTTGAAATAATTTTTTTAACTAACTCAGTTTAAAATGGAAATAAGTATTTCACATTTCCCCCTTTTTTCCTCTTACTCCTTTAGAAATATCACAATAGTTCTTTTTCCTTCCATGTTTTACAAGCAAATTTATAGTGCTCATAAAATTTTAGACTAAGTTAGAAGGAAACTGAGAGGACATCTAGTCCAATCCTTTCATTTTAAGCTAAAGAACGAAGCCCAGAAGGGAAATGACTAAAATAAAATAAAAGCCAAAATGGGCCTGGGACCAAGTGTTCCAACGCCCTGTCGGTTCTCTTTCCACTACAGAGGTAATCTGATACTCAGGCCAGGCACGAGAGCTTCTCTGTGTCCACGGCAGACATCGTCCATCACGTCATTACTTCCTTCTGAGCCATAACACCCGAGAGTGCTAGAGTCACTGCACTCAAGCTGGCTGTTGCCAGTGACAGCGGCTATGCCTCTGGTGGTTTAGTAAATATAAACCCACCATTTCCAGCTTAAAATGTGAAGACCCTTTTTCTCCCTTCCATTTTGTCTTGAGTTTATTAACTGAATCTTTCAGGGCAACAATGATCTTGTAGGGAAACATCTGAATTCTCGTGAAGCTACACTAAAAATGTGGTTGGAGATCATAAGATGAACTTATTTTTTCAAAAATTTAAAAATAAATATAAGCAAAGTTAATCTCTGGTGATAGAAATCAGAAAGTCGTTGCTTGGGTTGACTGTGAAGGGGCAGGAGAAAACTTTCTGGGGTGATAGAAATGTTCTATATCCTGATAGGCATGTGGTCAAACTATTCACTTAAGATCTGTGCATTTCATTGTTTGTAAATTATATCTTTTGAAAACAATCCAAACTACTCATGCTGAAAATTCAGAGTTTAAAATTCTCATCCAAAGGAAGGACTTGAACTGCAATCCAGCTGATGAAAGGCAATGACCAAACTGATAGAGATCTTTCAAAATCATTGTAGCTAAACGCATTTCTGTCCAACTATTCATGAGAATAACATCCGCTGTGCCAGAACTCGTGTACATGGGAAGCAAGTAAAGAGTTTCCTTTCATGCTATGCTGATGAATGGATTCGGCCTTAAATAGGAATAAGAGTATTATTTAAGAACTGTGTACACTACTGTGATAACATATCGTCTGCTCTGCATTGTCTACTGAAGTGTAATTAGAATTTAATTATACACTTCACCCTAAAGACCACAGAGAACTTAAGACCTTTATAGATAAGGAAGGTAAGGCTGAACACAGTGCACTAATTAAGTTTTCATATTTCTATTTTCTGTATTACTTTCCCACAAAAACTGGAGTGTGTATAACATTCTGCCCACTGCACACCATATTTGGTAACAGAGTCTTGACAAAAACAAAAAGAGTATTGAAAAGAAATAGAAAACTGGCTCTTCTCTGGCTGGCAAGCACATTATGTTGGCTCAGGAACCACAGGTGGATAGGAGCACAAATTGGCTAAAGACACCTCTCTGTTAGTGCTTATCACCACGAGACAAGGGGCAGAAAAGGGCAAACAGAGTTCAAGTTATAGGTAGAAAAAGAAGACAAATTTCTCACCTCTTTCAGCAAAGTGCATTCAAATGATAAACTTTAGCATAGGTTAGTTAGTTAAAGGTCTACTACAGTATCTGGCGCACTGACAAATGGTGGCTGTGTAAGACAATATGTCCTGTTACGACCGAAGGATCCACAGGAGAGTGACTTTTCTCCTTGGTGATGGCCATACGTACCAAATCTGGCTTCACTCGGTGAGTCAGGGGAAAGGAGAGCCACATGGAGTACAAGGTGGTGAGTACTGTGGAGAGCCAGGACTGGTGGACCTCACGGCTCCTGGGAATGCGGTGAATAAAGTATTCGGGAAACTAGAAGGAAACAGTAGCAATCCAAATCAACTGGGCCACTGATACCAAAGTGAAACACAGTAACAAATATGGTTAAAAAATGTTAAAGTTAGTTTTGAGAATAAGTTGGGGGAAATTTCCTATGAAATATGTTTTAGGCAAAGGGCTTAACATGCGGATAGACAAAGTGTTCTTACAAATCAACAAATAAGACAAATAATATAGTTTCCAAACAAAAGAAACACAAGCAGCTAATAAACATATTGAAAAGATGGCTAACAATTAAACATAAAAGAATGCAATGAGTCATTTTTCACCTACCTGATCAACAAAAACTGTGGATACCCAGTGTTGTTGAGGGTGTAGGGAAATAGACACTTACATTCCCTGGGTAAATACATCATTACAACTTTTGGGGAGGCTAATTTGGATATATCTATCAGAATTTTAAGTGTGTCTGCTTTTGATCCAGCATTTCTGCTTCCAAAATATAGCCCACAGATTTGCCCACATGCTAGCAACTGTCTCACTGTTTGTATTTTTGTAAATCGGAGACAGCCTCAATACCCTACAATAGGGAATGGAGAAGTCCATACAACAAAATATATGGAGATATATTAACAAATGACATAGATTCATATGAACGTATATGGAAGATGTGCCAAGGTAAGTTATTAAAGTGAATATGCAAGTTGCAGGACAGTATGTTTAATATGATCCAATGTGCATTAACAAATCACTCACATGTGTGTATTTGTATACACATATATACACATATTAGCATTCGCATGGAGAAGATCTGAAACGATTTGCCACAGATTGTAAAGGGGGTGATATCACAGAATATTTTCATTTTCCAGGTCTTTTATATCTATGTTTGAAATTTGCAACAAGAATATATTATTACTTTCATAATCAGAGAAACCAATGTTTCTTCCTTGGACTAAAGTTCCAGGTGTACTTGTTATCTTTTGCTGTATAACAAATTACCCTAAAACTGAGCAGCTTAAAACAATAAATATCTTTTGTTTTTCATGGTTTCTGAGAGTCAGGAATCCAGGAGTGGCTTAGCTGGGTTATTCTGGTTTGAGCTTTCTCATGAAATTGAAGTCAAGCTGTTGGCTGGGGCTGCAGTCAGCTGAAGGCTTGACTGTGGCTGGAGGATCCACTTCCAAGGTGGCTCACTCCCGTGGCTGGCAATTCAGTATTGGTTTTTGGCAGAAGGCCTTACTTGTTTGCCACATAGATCTTTCCATAGGACCACTTGAGTGTTCTCATTACACAGCAGCAAGCTTCCCCAAAGCAAGTGATCTAAGAAAGGACAATGCAGAAACTGCAAAGTCTTTATGATCTAACCTCAGAAGTCAAACTTCATCATTTCTATACAATCTCTCCTAGTTATATAGGTCAACCCTATTTGACATGGAAGAGACTACACAAAGGCTTGAATACTAGGAGGTAAAAATCACTGGAGGTTTCTGGGAGCCTGTCTACCACACAGGTTAAGTCAGAGAGTAAAGAACTAAATATTTAATACATTCCCCTCCTCTTCCCTCCCCTGGCCTTGAGGCACAATACGATCTTTGAGAAAAGAACAGAAAAGCCTTTTCCTAAACCAGTGGAAGACACACAACTACTGGTCCTAAGTTTTTGCATTTAGAAAAAGCTGTGACTGGAGGCTTCTGTTATGTTTCAGGAGGGCATGAGCATACATTTTTTTTTAAAGATTTTATTTTGCCTTTTTCTCCCCAAAGTCCCCTGATACATAGTTGTGTATTTTTTCAGTTGTGGGTCCTTCCAGTTGTGGCACGTGGGATACTGCCTCAGCATGGCTTGACGAGTGGTGCCATGTCCACGCCCAGGATTCGAACCAGTGAAACCCTGGGCTGCTGAAGCGGAGGGTGTGAACTTAACTACTCGGCCACGGGGCCAGCCCCATGAGCATACTTCTTAGATACTCAGCACAATATAAAAGTGGACTGCCACTCTGTTTCACGTATGATGGTAAAAGGATATTTCCTCCTCCTTCCATGTTACACCAGTGCAGAAGGAGAGATCTGGGTTCAAAATTTTATTCATTACTTTTATTTATTTATTAGCCATTTATTAAATCAACGTTTTTCTTTCCAAAGGATTAGGGTAATAAATGTAGAATTAAAAAATACTGAATAGCTCCCAAACTACAGACCATAGAGGAAGCAGTAAGCAAGTGGGGGCAAATTTGTTTGGAATCTTTTTTGAGGTTTTGTGCTTGCCTAATTCGTAGAGATTATTAATTGAAAAACAATAGTCAAAATAATACTAGAGAGCCAAAATCTCTTATCAGAAAACTTTTGGGTCAGAAGCGTTTTCAACAGGTAATATGGTGCATATATCATATAGCCTCCTTTGAAGTTTGTGGAAGTAACCAAATATATTAATATTTCTGTAGTAAAACATGGATATCCACATTAAGTGGGATAAATGAAGACTATACGCCTCATGTCTATTCAAATCAGGTTTTGCTGTGAAATAAACTTGTGACAAACTTGGAATTTTTTTTTCAGTTTTCAGTTTTTTGGGATTTCAGATAAGGAATTGTGAACCTGTACTACAAAATATATTTGAATCCAGTAAGAAGTCATTGTTATTATTTTGGTAAAAATAATGCAGTAGGGTCTTATTATAAGTTTTCTGGATGTTATTTTCAGATTTTGAGACCTGATGTCAATACCTATAAAATTTTCTTCGAAAAAGCATGGGTGTTTATCTTGTCCTTTGAATCTTTTAATTGTGAGCATATAATTTTGTAAAGAAGCAACGAACAATATTTCTGTATACTTTTAGTGTCCTGAGAGGCTGGAAGGGTGATCAGCTCGACTCCAGCTTTAGAAGCCCAGCTCCTCCTAGCTCCAGAGGCCCTGGTAAGGCCAATGCAAGGGTGCCTGGGACTGGAGACAGCCTTCTTAGACCTGGACAGAGAAAATGAGTGTACATCTCATCCCAGCTAGCAGCCTGAAGCAGCAGAGAAAATGGGTTTAGAAAGTCTCCAGTCCATTCTCAGAAGAATGGAAACTAGGGGAGGCATGTTCTAGGGTGGGAATTGAGGGGGCTCCAAGAAGAAAACTAGAAAAACAGGCCTGAGGGTGAAAAAACAAGGGTAGTGACTAAGGAGTGATGACCTCTGTTTTGACTTCTGGATGCGCCATGCAAGGAGCCCAACCTGGGCCTCCAGATCAGATGCTAGGCTGGGGAGGGGAGTCTCAGTTCCAGTTGTGAGCTGGAGCTATCTGGGCCAATGACCACATGCCTACAGTGACCAATGACCCAGTGTGCTGGAGACAGGCCCGGTTTATACCTTTAGTCCTAACATAATTCTGTTCTCAGAAGTGTCCCAATTTAAATAATAAAATATATGGTTACCTGTAGGGTGGGGCAATGAGTAGGTTCTTCCAGCTCACAGGGAAGGAAATTTATTCAGAACAGCCCAAGGCAATTTTGTATGACCATCAAGGATGAGAGTTTAAGTGGTAGCTGGGAAGAGAGCCAAACTGAAAGTTCTACCAGTGAGATAAACAGGAAAACAGCAAGGTGGCGACCGGCTTGGGGAAGGGGGGTGGGTGCGGATCAGAAATGAGCCAGGCAAAGGGTCAGAGCCATGACCCGGACTGGCAGGGGATGGCTGGCTTACAGCTCGACTCTAGAGAGGCCTCCACGTCTAACTTCCATCTAGATCTTCCCCACATTATTTTTTTCTCCCCAAGGCCCCAGCACATAGTTGTATAACCTAGTTGCAAGTCATTCTAGCCCTTCTATATGGGAAGAGGCCACAGCATGGCTTAGTAAGTGGGTTGTAGGTCCGTGCCCAGGATCCGAACTGGGGAACCCCAGGCCGCTGAAGTGGAACATGCGAACTTAACCACTAGGCTGTGGGGTTGGCCCCTCCACATTATTATTTTTTGATGATAAGTTCAGGTAACTGGAAATCCTACCAAAAAGAGATTTCTCTTTAAATCCAAGCCTTTCCCCACCCATTCCTCCCGACCATCACAGCAGGTCAGTTCTCCTCAGAGGCACCTTTCCTGACCAACCTCTAAAATAACCCCCTCCCCTCCCACATGCGCACACACACGCTTCCCTCCCCCACCACAAAGCTGGCTGTTATGTTTTAAAATTACTCTATTTACTCCACTGGCACATTACATATTTGTTTATTTGTCTATCTCCTCTATTAGGATATAACTTACCTGAGGAGCCCAGGAACTTTAATCACTGCACTCTCAGTGCTTGTTAAGAGTACTTGGTTTACAGTTGGTGCTCAATAAATATTTACTGAATGAATGACTCAACATGTTATTGCAAATTAATATAAACTAATTCAATCTTCCTGTCACCCAACTGAGATGCATTTAGACAGAGAATATAGAAAGGACACAAAGGAGGCGATCTCAGAGTGCATACTTAGGCCCTTACTTGCAAGGGCCACTCAATAAATGGGTTGTACTGACTGCAATTCCTGGGCTAGAGGGAAAAAAACTGAGCAAAGCAGGGGACTGGGAGTTTAGAAACAGCCAGAGCCTGGAGGCATCAAACCCTACGAGCAGGGGAGAACAGGAGAGAGATGAGAAGGAACCAAAGACAAATGCCCCCTCCCCTGACAGTGTGTCCTAGGTACACAGCCTAGACTTCTCTTTGTGGAACTGACCATTCACTAGGGCCTCAAGGAACTTCTCAGCTCATGTGAGTCCTCTCCCAGCAAACAGGTCCACAAGAGAGGAGTGCCCTGAAGTTTGGAGGTGTGAGCACAAAGGGGAAGGGAGCCTGCTAGGTTAGAGCAAGCAAAGCATCCCATTCTGCACCTAAAACTGCTTGAAAAATTCTATGCCCACTGCTCCTGTACTACCCCTGCTACGCGGGCGTGCAGTCAAGTGCACAGGAACCTGGGGCCATCTTGATAGGGACAAGGCCCTCAGATTAGCTATGCTTGACACACAGAAGCTGGTGCTAGGGTATTTGATGTCCTGTGTCACCTAAAGGAAACA